AGCCTGTACATCTTCATCTGGTCATACATGGTTAGGAATGCCCCCCTCCCCGGTTAATCGGTTCTGAGTCTGTCTCCTCTTTCAATTTGAGATGACCTAATTCAGTGGTTCTCCAAGTGCAGTCTCCAGACTAGCAGCACTGCCCAGGAACTTGTTCAAAATGTATATTCTAATGGGCCCCAGCAATCTGTGTTCTAAAGGCCCTCCATGTAATTCTCATGCCTGCTAACACTAGAAAACAACGGATTTAAATTACATTGATCAAGTGTATGCATTTTTTTAAATCAAAGAGCAACTTTCCCAATGTCTGATTCATAGTAGGCTCTCAATAAATGTTACCCTGAAAATGAAAATACACTTAATTTGTCACACAACATTTGACAATGTTTACGATCATATTTTTGTCTTTTTGTTACTGTATACTCATGAATGAGTACTTGCCCTCACAGATTATTCATTTTCTTTCCTTTTGAGACTAGCTCTTCGGCTTTTCATTTAATATGAAAGGTCATTTTCAAAGAAAATTGTTGTCTGATGCTTCAGTTATTTAATTCTCCAGAGAGTCACTGAGAAGCAAAGTGAGTTCGTGCCAATCATTTCTTCCCCATTTTTAAAGAGAGATAGTCACTTCGCTGTCAATGGTGATTAGTGAAATTTTTCTCTCATCTCTTCTGCAGGATGAGCCAGAAGTTCAGTGGCCAAGAGTTTGTTGTCTTAGGGCCTCTCAGTTGGCTTCGAGTCTGCTTAAGCAGCGGATTCATCCAACGCTTTAATACTCTCAGCTTTGCTTCAAGTCATATGTGAAAAGGGTGGGGGGGAATATATCACAAAGAAAGCTGAAGTGCAACAGGTTTATGGAGACAAATGGACTCAGAGTGTAACATGTGAATTCACTTGTATTATATACCCAATACTTTCTTTTTTTTTTTTTTTAAGATTTTATTTGTTTGACAGAGACACAATGAAAAAGGGAACACAAGGAGGGGGAGTGGGAGAGGGAGAAGCAGGCTTCCCTTGGAGCAGGGAGCCCGATGCGGGGCTCGATCCCAGGACCCTGGGATCATGACCTGAGCCTAAGGCAGACGCTTAACGACTGAGCCACCCAGGTGCCCCTATACCCAATACTTTCTGATGTGTAAAATCCAGGGGAATCATGGGCTCCAGAGTCAGTGAGATTGATGTGGTATAAACCTCTTTCACCTCTGGTCAGGCAAATGACTTCTGTGGGTTGAACAACATCCCTGCATATGAGCACATCTAGCCCCAGGGACAGGTTTCCCAGGTAGGGGCACTCAAAGAAAGAACCAAGGCCTGGAGTTGGGTGTATGTCCTGTGGGAATGAGAATGCCGATTGTGGGTGAAAATTTGCAGTGCAGGCATCACTGAGAGTTTGGGGAGGCTCCCACATGGAGCAGGGTGGGGGAAGTAGGGATGGGTAAAGGGTGCTGAGAGTCGACCAGCAAGACAGAGAAGTGTGGTCCAGGCTGGAGGAAAGCGTGCCTGCGGGGAGCCAGGGATCTGATTGGGACCTCTTTCGCTAGCTTTCCTTGTAATTCTCATGAGGAAGTGGGTGGAAGGAGGCTCCTAGAGTAGAATTGTGCTGGGTAGTGCTAACCACTGCCTGAGCAGCTCGTTCTTTCCCAAGTGAAACCTGTTACTCATGACACAGGCTTTGAATTGGTAGCTGGATGTATGGCTCTTGAGTCCTGGCCATAGCTTCTCGGTTTTGTCCTCCAGACTTCAGTGTGTTTGTTCATTCAGAGAGAGAGGGGTGAATTGGCCTCTAGAGCTCGGGCCCTGGAGGCAGACCAGACAACTGCATTTTGAAGTCCATAAATCCTGACCACCTTGCAGGTGCCAGGCACCACAGAGACACTAGGAATCAAGTGAGAAGCAAGAGTTCCTGCCTTCAGGGAGCACCGAGTCTAGTGAAGGACACAGATCTCCAAATGGATTAAATTCAATGGGATAATTTTTGTAGGTACAGAATGGTACATAAATTGAATCTGTTTTTGTTTGTTTGTTTTCTGCTTGAGGAAGTCGGCTAAACCTTCTAAGAAGAGGTAATACTTAAAACTAGGTCGGGTACTGAGGAGGAAAAACGCATTGTAGGCAAAAGAAAGAGTGTTTAAGAAAGCACGGTGTCGTCAGGAAATGGCAAGTGGTCTGTCTTCCCCTACAGCATATGCTCTCTGAGGGTGAGTGGTAGACTTGAGGTAGGATAGGAGACATGAACTCAGATCACAAAGGACCAGTATCTTGTTGGGGGGCCTAGGGAGCAGAGCTTTAAATAGGAGGGTGACAGGTCAGATTTGTTTTTGAAAGATCATTCTAGCTCCTTTATGGAGAGTGGGGTGGAGGGAATAGAGCCTTGTCAAAATACAGTTGAGGCATGATGAGGACCTGGTCCAGGTCCATTGCCAAGGCAGTGAAGAAGCCAGGTTGACTTTTAGAGTCTTGAATTTGTCCAGCTGACTTCTCTTTTAGAGTCCTCGCCCACCTCTTTGGGGGCATCAAGGGCTGCTTCTGTAGTTGCTGCCTACACAGTTGTTTCTGCTGGAGGCTGCAGATTTAACCTGAGCCTGCATTCTCTCATTGATCCCATGGAGTGTTCTTCTCTCAGAGATTTTACCAAACTCTCCTAATGGTGCGGAACTGAAGCTAATTACAAAGAATTCCATGTTAACGTATTAGTAAATAAATTCTGTACTTAGATACTATTGTGTGTGTGTGTGTGTGTGTGTGTGTGTGTGAGACGAGCAGGATAACTTTGTACTTGACATGTAATTTAAGTCGCTTACATCAAATGCTTGAATTCATTCATGAAACTTTGATTGACATTTACACTATGTGACGGCACTATTAGCTTCACTGAGGGGTAACTTAAAAAAATATTAGACTTCCTCTTGCACAATGTACCAGCTCTGGTTTATTTTTATAGCTGCAAAATCAAGGAACTTTCTAATAGCATTTGGTTCATTCATTCATTTATTTACTCATCCATCTATTAATCCATCAGTCAGCAAATATTTGTTAATCATTTACTTTGTGAAGGCAGAGTAATGAGATGAGGAACACATTAGGGGTGGAAATGAAAATAGAACAGAGGGCGCCTGGGTGGCTCAGTTGGTTAAGCGGCTGCCTTCGGCTCAGGTCATGATCCTGGAGTCCCAGGATCGAGTCCCGCATCGGGCTCCCTGCTCGGCAGGGAGTCTGCTTCTCCCTCTGACCCTCCTTCCTCTCATGTGCTCTCTCTCATTCTCTCTCTCTCTCAAATAAATAAATAAAATCTTAAAAAAAAAAAAAAAGAAAATAGAACAGTTCTGGATGGACCTCAGAGTTCTCGGAAAGCCCAGAATATAAAATAACCTCAAGACTTTGGGTACTTAATCTTTAATAGTAGGGTCGTTTTCATTATTAAAGAGCATCTTGGGTTAGGAAGTGAGGTTTTAGCTTCTTAGATAACCTATCCTATCTCTGCTCCCATGTTCCTCTGGTAATTACTTGAAACTTTTGGTCACTGGGCTGTGCACTGTGTACTCACTAGGCCATGATGATTTCAAGAAATGAATGAGGAAAGTATTTTCCATTACCTATCTGCAGGGTTTTCTGCTCAGTAAAAAAGGGACCAAATAGTATGCTTTCCTAAGCAGGTGTGATAGAAAATATTCAGTCTACCCCACCTAGTTGGTGGAGTCTGTTTGAAAATTGGCCAGTTTCAGAATTCAGCTACTAGTTGTTTGTGTAAATGACTAATGGTCATCAGAAACCATCTTAGAAGTATAACACACCCAGATGTATTTTGATCTCTTCCTCCTTTAAAGCCCCCTTTTTAATTGAGAAAACTCTTTCTCATTGTACAGTTGTCTACTCCTTTGTGGAAAGAGCACTTGCTGGGAATCGGGTGACTTGATTTCTAATCCTAGCTAACCTGCTAACTAGTTGTATGACTTTAGGCCAGGGTTGGCACACAATAGCCTGCTGCCAAATCTGACCTACCACCTGTTTTTGTAAATAAAGTTTTATTGGAACACAGCCATGAATATTTGTTTATGTAATTCTTTTGTGCCACAGTGCAGAGAGGAATATTCGTGGCAGGACTTTATCACAGAGCCTAAAATATTTACTGTCTGGCCCTTTACAGAAAAATTTGTCAACCCCAGCTTTAGGCAGGCCATTATCTTACTTGAGCCTTAGCTTCCCCATCTGTAAACCTAGGGGAATTCGATTAGGTTCTTCCCAGGGCCTGTGTCCTTTTTAACATTCTGTTGCTCTATAACTCTTCATACAGAGAAGCCTCATATCAATCATTGTACACTGGGATATAAACCTATTCATATTTATATTCACTTCTTCAATTTATGAAGCACTAATATTGGCAAACCACTGTAGAGAACTAACAACTCTAAGAGTCTCTGCCCTTGAGAAGCTTATACTCTGGTTAGAAGACAGAGTTACAAGGTTTTGAAGTTAAATTATAATAGAAGGTAATAAAGGATAACATATCAAAATGAGTGAGGATGACTAAATGAGTTCAGAGGATCCTTCTGGGCTGAGATGATTAGGGAAAGCGTATAGGGGAAAGTGGCATGTTTTTAAGAATAGTCATCCCCATAGCCCCATAAAATATTGGATCTAGTGTCCTTCTAAAGCAGTAGTTTTCAGGTTTTAGAGTACAGATTTTAGAGTGTAGGTTACTGGGAAAAAATACAAATTCCTGCAACCCAGCTTTAGTTTAGAGGTTCTGATTGTAGGTCTGGGGTACATCCCAGAAATCTGCTTTTTCAAAGAGTACCCCCTGGTGATTCTGTTATATATGGAGAATTTTCTTACTTTTAAAAATATTGCTTTGGAAATTGATTAAGTTGCTAAATACTGTTACTGTTGAGGAATTCATGCTATGTTTGGCAGAGTCTTATTAAATCCTACATTTTCTGTGAGTAGGAGGAACTCCACTATCCATGGAGCAATTACTTCAATGATCTTCTCTCTCCTTTTAGGAAATCTGTGATCTCCCAGGCCAAGAAGAACAAACTGAGGAGTATCTCTGAAAGCCATTGAATTCCTTAGATAAGTCCAGAGGGGAAATCTGAGATCAGTATAATATTGTGTCTGTGATAGCTGAGGATAAATTATTGGAAAGGGTCAGGGTAATAACTACTTCATTTTGCATTTGACTCTTGGTCCTTTTGTTGTGAGCTTTTTGTTCGTGCAAAGCTGGCTGGGGTCCGCCTAGTGGGTCAAAAAAAAACCCTTAAGGAAAGAGGTTGGGAATCTCCAATCTCCATCCCAAAACATGTCACTGATGACTTGAACATATCACCAGATACTCAAGATACTGAGGAGACCTTCCACCTATGGGAGAATGACCCTCTGAAGAGAAATTTGGAATCATCATCAGAGCCATTGGAGGGGACATCTGAGAGTCAAATAGGTGACATTTCACAAGATCCTGTCATGCCTCCAGTCCAGAGAAGAAAGTTAGATCCACTTCCAAAAAAGCATAGATATCCTAGGAAGGCCATAAGGTCAAAGAGAATGAGGAAGAGCAAGAGGAAGGAGAAAGTGGAGACCCACTGCCCCCCGATACTTCCAACACCTTTGGTACCACCACAGAGTGAAGAAGATGAGGTGGTAGATGCAAAGCTGACCATACTCAGTGCTCAGGAAGATGATCCTGACCTTCCCAATGAGGTAAGGATGAGGCATGGGGTGTCAAAAGTCTGGGCTTGCCACATTTTCCTAGGAAAAATAATGACAACTCTTCCCCTGCAGTGGGAGGAGGTGGGGATAAAGAGCTTGAGGAACAAACTTGGATCCTTGGGCCCAGATAAAGTATGAATTGGCTTAGAGGGTGACGGGCCGTCTCTGTGTATGTGTGTTGGCATTGAGGGCTTTAACTTTCTTCTGCTTGCAGGCCCAATTACAGAGTCAGCAGGATGAGGATTCCTGTGTGAAGCATCAGGAGTGTCCGATCCAGCCCTGTGAGCTCCCAGCTTCCCCGGAGCCTGGGTCCTCTTCTCCTGCAGTGACATCCTTGGCATCACCACCACTCTGCTTTGGTCGCTTCTTAGGCTGTGTCTGCCAGACCTTCTCGAGGTCTAGGAAGCGGAAGCCCTCCAGAAGACAGGGCACTGAGCTGGCGGAGGCAGGAGGTGATGCTAAGTCTTTAAGACCTGGCCTGCTGAGGGATCTGGGCAAAAACAGAGTGCAGCCTCATGAGGGCCTGTAGCAAGCTGATGCCAATACAGGCTCTCCCTGTGTTTAGTTTTATAGTTTTCTCCATATTGTTGTTCCCTTTGGTTGTGTTGTTTGTGGAAAAGAGAGCTGCTTTTATGCTGAGATCCTTAAGCCTAAAGAAGCGATAAAAGCAAAGTAGCTTTGAAGTTTTTAACACTTTACCCCAGTAGTGGGATTGCTTCCTACTTCCTCCTATTAGGCTGAAGTAGCATTCACTTGGGAGCAGTGGTTCCCAAAATTCATGCGGATGTTGCTCATGTCTTAGTTAGCTCAAGTCTCACACTACCTTCTCTGAGGATGGAAGCCATACCATCCCGTCATCCTGAGTAATGTTTCCAGATATTAGCCACCAAGTGGAGACGTCTCATGTCCAGCTCCTCTCATTGTCTTTGGCTAGAGATTCCTTTTGAATTCTTCATCCTCAGTACTTTGTTGAACTTCTGCCGCTGTCTGCTTGATTTAGATATACCTCAGGGAGTGATGGTTGCTACATTTCTTGGCCAGGGTAACACTACCACCTCCTCCAACTCTAACTGTTGTTTGGTTTTCTTTTTGTCACTTGTTAGTAAGCTACCTGGCTCTTTCTTATGAATGTGCCTTTGGTGTTCTCTAGCCATATGTATTAAAAAACTTAGTCACATGAGGTAATGGTCTCCTTCCTTGTTATTCTTTAGCAAGACTCCCACAGAATCCCAAGTTCTTCTGAGAACCCTAAAGAAAATAAGTACTTAAAAAAAGTTTAAGATTATTTCATTTCCCCATTGTTGTCCCAGCATACTAGGTTAATCCTCTTCCTAGGACGTAAACTAAGAGTTTAAATTAATTGTATATCCTACTTTGAGAGGGTAGGTTTAAGAAGAATTTGAGAGTTACCTTGTAGCTTTAATTACCTGTTATTATTTCCTACTTGTCCCTGTTTCCAAATTCATAAAAGAATAATAAATAAAGGTACAAGTAGAAATAAATGTATAAAGTATCTGCATTAGAAGGAAATTGTATACTTTATTATCTTCCTTCCTTAAGACTGACCCTGATGGTTACCACACTAGAATTAGAGAAGATAACCAGTGTGTTTGTTTTGTGCTTTCTTGCCTGGAATAGGGCTTTGTAGTGTTGGAAGAATGAAGTTGGGAAGGGAATAGAATGACATGCAGGAGCAGTGGTAAAGATTCTTAAGGCTGCCTTGGGGGTAATTGGTAAAAATTGCCCTGGAAGAAGTTTTGTGATGTGGTGAGGATCTCAAGTTGGAATGAGGAATTTTGTAAAACGTCATACTCTGTGCTTGGAGTAAAATGGGAGAGCTTTCTCAAGTCAGTCATGCTTTGATACCTTTAATTGTCTAAAGAGTGGTTGATTGTTTAGAGAGTATGGAATTTTAATAGAGCTAATTGAGCATTATAAATGGGCTCAAGCTATTACATGAAATTTCAAATTATCTAAAATATATTTACACACCTATTTTCTCAATGTAATATAAGAAACGTACTGCCAGGCAAGGCATAATGTACGAAAAGTCCTGTGTCATGGAGCCTATTATTAAAAGCTCAAAGGAAGGTAGATATTAGCATTGCCATGAATGCTTTGTTATTGTTTCTTATCGTAAGGTGTTTCAGGATGAGCTGTTCTATCATAGAAAAACTGTTCGTTCCAGCCTGGTTAACCATATGCCCACTCCCACCTACAATGCTGATTTTCATATAAAGTTTATTTATTCCAAATTTAGAGTAAGGATTTCAGATAAGGGAAGATCTGGATAAGCACTTAGTTTTGAAACTCTTTTGCTCATGTGTCTTGACCACTCAATCACAAACAGGGGGAAAACGTGTCCATGTCTCCCCCGCTGCATTAGTAAAGAAGAAAGTATGTGTTCCCAGGTTTCACATTCTGTGTTGCTGTCTTTATAGCTTGAATTATTAAACATGGTTTATGTCTTTAAATAAAGTTGTTTTTGCAAAATATATTTAGAAAAATAGTAAATCTGTATCAAAGTAAAAACAAATTAAAAATAAAACCTACCACTATTGATGAGAGATAAAACTTAGGGGTCATTTAAAAAAAAAATGTTTCTCCACAAGGCAGATAAACAGATACTGTCAATGTGTTGTAAACAGAAATACTTGACAAGTATAAAGATGATCACATTTAATGTATTTCGTTGCCTTTTTTTCTCATGGGAACTCACACAACTAGGTAGGTGGCAGGAATGCTCATTGCTACAAGTTGAGTAAGCTGAGATTAGGCAGGTTGATTAAACTTTTCCAGTGATTCTTTTCTAAGAACACTCATTACATCTGCTAGGGAATCATAATACAAGTTCTCTAAACATTTTATTTAACCACTCACTTGTGGTTTTATCTTCTAAATGTGATTGATTTTACTCTGGTTCTTGTCCCAGTGTTCTGTATGGGAACACTTCTTGCTGGACATTTTGTTTTTGTCACCTTGTCCTCACACTACTGTCCAAATTCCAACTAATGCCACCTCTACTCACCTGGAAAATTTTAACATGAGAAAACTCTGGTTAATGTAGAATTACAGAGAACCAATAGAGAGGGTTTACTTATTAACCGAGTTTTAACAGAAAAAGTAGAACTGATCTAGTCCTTATTTATCGGAGGAACCTGAAACACAAAGAAATGAAGTTGCTCGATCTCAAGATAGCCTAGCTGCTTAGTGGCAAAGCTAAAGCAAACAATAACTAACATTAGATTCAATATTGTACCTTATGCCCTTCTTCTATAATCTTCAAGCCGTCTGCATGGGATTGATATTAATATTTTCATTTTACAAATGAGACCATTTAAGTTCAGAAATGTCCTGGTAAGTCCTGATGCAGAATCCAAAGCCAGGTTTGTTAGAGTCTGAAACCCATACTCATTACATTCCACCTCCCAGTATTACAATGTTATAAAATCTCTTTGTTTCCAGTCTAAATCTGTAATGTCAAGAACAGGCAATTTCTCTTATTTCCCAAAATTTATATTTTAGCCTTAATGCCTGTATAATAAATATAGTTCAATTTAAAAAAAAGTCCAGTTAAAAAGATTATTTCTTCCAGGTAAAATTTCTGTATTGGGCAGTAAATAGTAAAATAGTTAACCTAAGTGTCATTGATAAAATAGAATTGCAGTGTAATATAAACAAAGTTTTAATCATTACAACTAATTAAACCGAGACAATGACTTAACTGAAAAGTGATCAAGAGAAAAAAGAATAGCACATAATCAAAGCAGGGCCCTCGACTTGACAGGATCACAAGATAAAGCACAGCAAAGATGAATTAGGTCCCATAGAAAGCTAATAGACTTAAGAGTGTTTCTAAACTGTTTTCAGGTGAATGGTTTGGGATTTGGGTAGCAAAGAGACAGGCTCTTCTAGGTAACCCAGTGACCCTTGAAATAAGTGAGTCTACTGCTACTAATGAACTCCAGGCTTTAAATAGGAAATTTGAATTTTCTCACGCTTCAAAACATTCTTTTCATTTTGATTTGACAAGGCCTCTTTCAGGACAAAATAAAAGAACAACAAAACTGGTAGGTTCAAACCCCTGGACTGTGTGGTCAAGGAATGTTCTTCATCTTTTTTCAAACTCAAGACACGAGGACAGCTGTTGTACATGGAAGGTTGGATTGCGGCAGATTTCCTGAGCTGTATTCTGTCAGCTGTAAAGAATTGCAGCGCTGCTCCCATCATGGAACCTTTGTGATGAACTGTCTCAGACACACGGTTATTACCCTCCTGGTTCCCAGTGCTAGAGGATGTCTTTGACGAGCACCCTTGTTTCCCTCCCCTCTTTCCCACCTCCTGATTTAGAGTCAGTCCTGCAGTTGGTGAGAGGCCCAAAGGCTATTTTAACAGAGGTTTAAATAGTGTACACGAAGAGGAAACCTCAACACAGGTTAAAATAATTTTTACACGAGTTACGTAATTTTAAACGAATTCAAAATTCTGAAATTCTATCACAGATGATTTCTGATGTGAATTTGACTTCTCATCTAGTTGTAATTACCAGTTTGATTTGAGGATGTCTGTGAAAATACACAGTGCTGGATTATTACAATGGTAGCCCTTCTGGTGAGCAGGACAATAGGTCCATTCACAGAGTGATGAAACAGTAACTGGGATTTTTTAATAAGTACCATGAGAAATATCCCCTGAATATCTGTCTCTTCACATGGAAGAAAACAGAATTATAAAGATGGTAAAACCAGAAAAAAAGAACACATTTCAATCAGCATTTAGTACCCAAACTCTTACTTGGTTTGTGATGCTCAATAAAAATCTCTGGCTAAAATTTATATAAAAAAGATAATAGATGAAAGAGAAAATAGTTATCCCATCACCTCTTTTCAAGAGCTACCATTCATCCTAATTTAAAATCTGGTTTCATTTTAAGGTTAAAATTATGAAGCAAAGTTCTGTGTCTAATTCAATGTGTTACGTAATTATATAATAAGTAGTTGGGAAATACCTGTCTGAGCCTGGACTTAAAAGTTAAAAAACTTAAATACGGAATCCAGGTTTTGCCATTTGCTATTGTGTAACTTCAGCTATTTGTTGAAACTCATTAATCTTTCGTCTCCTCATCTAAAAAGGGAGATTGTTAACATCCCATAGGTTGTTTTGAGGATTTCTTGAGGATACCTTGCTGAAAAAGCCTACTGGCTCTTTTGTAGTAGAGAGCTTTTGACCTTGCCATGCCTATTGAATTCTTAGAAAACAAAACAAGATATTAACTGCCTAAGTGCTATACAAGGGTAAACTACTCATGTCAATCTTTATTTTGAAGAGAACTGAATTTATTTTGGGGGGCATCATGTGGAGCAACAAGATTTAATATTTGTTTATTCCCAATTTGAATGTCTCTAGAGAAACTTTTTACCCCAGAACTTGGCAAGCTAAAGCCCCTTTATTGTTACAACCTGTGAAATCCATATAATTAGGCCTTTATTCTTGATTTATAGAAGAGACAGTCATCTGGTCCTAAATTGCCATGGCTTAATGCAACATCTTTTTGAATAAGTCATTAGCATTTTCTAAGAAAACTTCATTATATAGTTTATTCAATGGCTGTAACAGAGCAGTGGTTCTTAACTTTTTCTGCTCAAATCCTCTGAATGATAGGAGATATCCTAATGCACCACTGTAGCAAGAATTATTAAAGAAATGATGATTGAAGCACCTCCCAGATGCATTAGAATTTTGGAGAAATTGTCTTTGGGTAAACACCCTCCCTGTATCTTTTTTTTTTTTTTTAAAGATTTTATTTATTTATTTGACAGAGATAGACACAGCGAGAGAGGGAACACAAGCAGGGGGAGTGGGAGAG